GTTCGGCGGGTAGCTGGACTGGCACTGCAGTGACCGGCTGACCCCCAGGAGCAGGCAAGGAACAACAGAAGGTTCTGAGATGCCCGTCCACCCTGATGGCCCATGTTCCAAGGATCTGTCTAGCTCTACCTTTCCCTCCCGGCCCTGACAGTCCATGTCCTATATTCTGAGGCCCCTCCCAGCTCACACTTTCCACGTTCTCTCCCTCCCAGTTTGGGCCACTTGTGAGTCCGAGGGCCCAGAATTGGCCGAGGGGCAGATGGGCAGCCAGGGTTCAGTGGGAATTGTTCAGAAACTCTTCTAATTTAGTCAAGAGTGTGGATCAAATGGGGGCCCATCTCCAACTGCAGCATCTAAACTTGGAAATGTTTGTGCCCTGCTGGGGGAAGAGTAATAATACCAATATCAATGATATAACAATAGTAGCTCTAGTCCTTATGTCTCTCTAAGGTTTGCAAAGCACTTTGCAAAGGTTGTCTCTTATCCTCACCACATTGGGAGTAAGTGTTATTATCCCCATTTTTCAGATGGGAAAAACAAGTCAGGCAGCAGCTAAGTGAGTTGCCCAGGGCCACATGCAGCCAGTACGTGTCTGAGGCAGTATTGGAACTGGAGTCTTCTTGACTTAAAGCCCAGCACTCTTCATCTGGCTGCAGATACCTACTCTTTGTGTAACCCTGGCCAAGTCACTGAAGTGTTGTTGGCCTCAGTTTGCTCATCTGTAAAACGAGCTAGAGAAAGCAATGGCTAACTGCTTTCAGTATCTCTGCCAAGAAAACCCCAAATGGGATCATGGAGAGTCAGACATGACTGAAAACAATGTATTATTTTAGGGTGATGATGGAGTGCTTCGTGCATTTGTGAGAACAACCATTCCCATTTTAGGATGAGAAAAATGAGGCCCTGACTCTCATCACCACCTCAAAGTCCAGAAGTGGAGCTGGAGCTTGAACCTGTGCCTTCTGACCCCAGAATCAGGGTTCTCAGTATGACAAGAGCTAGCGTTGCCATCACCTTGTCACCATTCATCTGAGCTAAAAATGCCTATGGTAAGAAAGGTTACCTTTACAGGTAAAGAAAGAGGGCAGCTAATCTTAACTCCAACTCTATGTGGCCTTGCAGCCCTTGTCTCAGCATTTATTTCCCTTTGGGAGGTTATTTTCAGTTTAAAAAATAAATTCAGACAGGGGCAGCTAGGTGGAGAAGGACCTGAGTTCAAATCCAGTCTTAGACCAGACACTTGACCAGACCCAGCTCTGCTGGGCTTTCATGGGTTCATTTGTACGACCTGGCAACTGAAAATTTTCTTTCTTTCCCTTTTTATTTAGTTATTGTGAGAAATCACTCAGGGGAGGGCTTCACTCCAGAATTAGGTAGACTGCATTTGCACCATATATGTCCCAGGTTCTGCCAGAAGTCAGAGGAAGGAAGACTATGGTCTTACTTAGCTTTGAAGGATCAAAAATCATAAGCAACTGTACCAATAGATGACCTCATTTCCACTCCATAATTGGGAAGATCTGTAGCGTTAACTGTGTGAGGTTAGGCAAATACCCTTTCGATAAATATATTCAGTGTTTTGAAGACCCTCCCAAGTCTGCCTGTCTGCATGCTGAAGACCCTTCTACTGTGGGCAGTCTATATAGTCAGAGGTCCCCTTGGAGCAGTGATGTTCTGGGTTCCAGTGTCCCTTTCAGCTCTGCAATTCTGTCATGCTAATATGATCTGCCCAATCTCTGATGTTTTCTGTTCCAGGGTCACGTCTAGCTCTCACATTCCACAAAATTTGCTACTTATTTAACAGGTATCCTTCATAGCTAAGACCAGCCATTTTCTCGTACATATTTCCACGTAGTTTTCTACTTCTCAGCGGGCTACATTTACACTTTGCCTGGTGCGTCGTGGCTGGGCATGGTTGCTTGCTCATTTCCTTGATTATCCTCTCACATGGCTATCCCTCTCTCATCCATGAAGTAGAGCATGGTCATTGATCTCCCCAGCTTCTCAGGGCAGGGGGGACCTGGGAGACAATGTTTTGCTGACCCACAACCCTCCACCAGCTACCTCCTATATTTATTGAGGGGGCTGAATCTCAGGGGTACAAGGTATGCACAAAGAGATGGACAGACTGTGCCATGGACACTTGTCCAGTTCTGCTTCTTCCTCTATGCCTGTGTGGCACCTGCAATGGTTTCAGTCAGATAAGCCACCCGGAGCCCAACAGAATACTCAGGTCCTCTTGCCTGGGGTACTGTTGGGGGGTGGGGAAGGTAAAACAAATGCAGTAGGGCCTGTGGAGAGGGAAGGGGGGAGTTAGTAGAATCAACGGATGGGCAGACCTCACGGTAGCTCCTGGAGTCTCAGCGGGGGGCCGGTGAGGAGGGGGGTGGAGCTGCCACGCCAGACAGCCAAGTGGGCTCAGACCTCACAAAGGCCATCCCTGACTTCACTCAGCCCATGTTGCCTGAGTATCTCTGGTGGCCCAGAGTTCAAATCTGGTGGGGTGGGACATTGCAGGAGAGCAGCTGAACGGAAACCTGAGGCTTGCCGGAAGCTAGGGGCCACACTGCACATGCCTCAGCACCTCGAAGATACTTCAGATAGACGATAATGGTCCCCAAGTGGTATTTCTCTGACCTTCGCTTTTCACCTTTCGGTTCTGAGGGCAGCCAGGCAGCTGCAGTGGGGAACACCTCTGCCCGGGAGGAAGCTGCACACAGCCCCAGGGGCTTCATTGCAGGCTTTCAAGTCAGATCACTGGCTGGCAGGACGAACTTCCTGCTTGGCAGTTGCCTGGAGGGAAAGCATTGGACTAGTACTTTGCTTTTTGCTTTTTGTGTTTTGTTTTTCTGCTGGAATGGGTGATTGAGGGGGAAGGTGGGCACAGAGGAGTAGCTCTGAATGGACTTGGAGGGGTTGGTGAGATGGAGGGCTAAAGGAGACCTTAGGGGTCATCTGGTCCAAACTCTTCATTTTGGAGAAAGTGAAAATGAGGACAAGAAGAGGTCAGGATCTTGACCAAGGGTACAGAGCCAGTAAGTACCTGAAGCAGGTCCTGGGCCCAGGTTTGTCTTGCTTGACACCCTAGGTGGCTTCTATGTTGACATCTCTCTCCTTTGACATCCAAATTTCATGGGCGTAAGATCCCTCAGAAAACACTCCCAAGAAACAGCTTCCTGCCTCAACTGGGATTTGTGTAGGTCACCCAGAGAGTTACCAGGGCAAGGCAGAGCAAATATCACCTCTTTCCTCAATGGGTTTCTTCCCTTTCTGAATAGGAGGGAAGGGAGGGGATGATCTTCAGTGGCTTCACTCCTAGCCTACTTGAATGTTTTCCTGGAAGTTGGATATGATAAAGCCTAGGCAAGGTCCCTCTTTCCTGCCCTCAGAAAACACCCAGTCTAGTGTGGGGGGAGAGGAGTCTCTGGGACATGTTGAACTTGATCTAGGTTGGGCAAAGGAGGAAGGGCTAGGTGACAGGGGGATCTGGAACAGCTTGCTGCAGTTGGCCTTTCCACGATGGGAAAGAGGGTGGAAAGTGATCACACAGCAAAGGTCAATAGGCTGACCAAAGGGACCTCTCTGGGCTAAATGAGGGTCCTGGAGGAGTCAGGGTGAGGACAGGAACCTGAATAACACCTTGAGCAAAGCTCATGTGCCCTTTCCTTTACCAACCTTAGCAGGTCTATCAGGTTCTTCCCCAGCTTGTTGAGATCATTCTCAAGGAGCTCAAAGATCATCTCCCTGATGCCAAAGGTCTGAAGGGGAAGAAGTCGGGGCAAGCAAGCAAATCAAATTGCCGGTGGAAATGATGCCACCAACACAAGGGTTCAGGAGTCCTGGAAAGCCTCAGGGGCTGGTCCCAGGCCACTGACAATCAGAGAAAAGAAAGCAGAGCCAAAAGAAATGTGGCTTACAGTAAAAACTCCTCCAAGCTGAACTATTCCTCTCTTTTACTCATGATTGAAAGGGGGATGTATATTGAAAAAAGGGCCAGGGATCTCTCTCTCTCTCTCTCTCTCTCTCTCTCTCTCTCTCTCTCTCTCTCTCTCTCTCTCTCTCTCTCTCTCTCTCTCTCTCTCACACACAGACACACACACAGAAGGGACACACTCCACCCCAGTGCAATCATTTCATATGGAATTTTAAGTGAGAGAAATCATTTGTAATTGGGTGGTGAAGAAACGGTGCTCTATAGTGTTGTGCCCAGCAGTTGAATTACTTTCTAAGGAGAGAGATGGGATAGCCATGGGCAAAAGAGATTTGGAACACAAACTCATTTGTGAAATCTCATGGCAAAAGTGAGTGAAAAATAGGGACTTTTCTTGTGGATGAGTATTCATATTCTCTCAATGTGGAAACATATGAGTACTCACCTACTGTCTATAGTCATATATATTTGTACTGACATTCTCTCTCTAGATTCCTGTAGATGAATACTCCAGTATTATCTATGTCTCTTTCTACAGCCATGCTCATATATCCTTTCTTTAGATCCACACACACACATATGTACTCCTTTGTTCTCTATTCGTATATGTGAGCAATCATAAATTGAGAAGATACATTCCTATTTATGTACCTGTCTAACTCTGTTATGTATGATTATACATACTTCTTTCTCCATTTATTGACACATTCTCTATTTTCACACAAAAAGTACTCACATATTCCTTATCTTTATGTATATACATATATATATATATATATATATATGAGTTCTCATTTTCTCTCTCCATATGTGTATGTTGTTATAGGAATCCTCCTACTCTGTCTCATCATATATGACTGCACATCTTCTCCAACAGGGAAATTGTGGAATTCTTGTTTATATAGAGAGAGGAAAAGGGCTCACACTTGAATGAAGAATAAAATAGAGAGATATCATTCAGTCTTTTTTTCACTCATTTGTGACACTTTGTGGAGCATGGCAGAGATTCCGGAGTGGTTTGCCCTTTCTCCCTCCAGCTCATTTTACAGAGAAGAAAACTGAGGTCAACTGGGTGAAGTCCTTGGCCAAGGTCACATAGCCCAGGGTGACATGTGAAATGGCATTTTAATTCAGGTCTTGCTGAGCCCAGACCAGACACTCTATCCACCTAGACAATCCATGTGTACCCATGTCAGAGGCTCTCCCAGAAGTCCTTCATATGAATATAGAGAGAATCCATAAGTATTCCTCTGTATGAATATAGAAAGAGAATGTGTGAGTTCTTCATTACTATGAACATCATGGAAAAACTATAGAAAGACTTGGGGATAGGAAGATACAAAGAAATGGGTTTTTCTCAGGGGTACAAGGGATGGACAAAGACATGGATAGACTGTGCCATGGACACTTGTCCAGTTCCCCTTCTTCCTCTATGCCTGTGGGGCAGCTGCAAGGGTTTCAGTGAGATAAGGCACCTGGAGTACAGGAGTCTAGTCAGGTTCTCTTGGCTGGGATGTATTGGGGGGCGGGGCAGCTAAAACGAACCCAGTAGCACCGGTGTCGGGGCGGGGGGGGGGGCGGGTAGCAGAACCAACGGACCTGCAGAAGGTGAATGTGGCTCCTGGAGTCGCAGCGGGGGGGCCGGTGTGGAGGGGGGGGAGCCTGCGTATCCAGGCGGCAAGGTGGGCTGAGGCCTCACAAAGGCGCTTGCTGACGTCGCCGAGCGTCCGCTCTGCTCCGCCCCTCGTTGCCTGAGTATCTATGGTGGCCGAGAGTTCAAATCTGGCGGGGTGGGAGATTGCAGGAGAGCAGCTGAACGGCAACCCGAGGCTCGCTGGAAGCTAGGGGCCACACTGCACCTGCCTCAGCACCTGGAAGTTACTTCAGATAGAAGGTAATGGTCCCCAAGTGGTATTTCTGTGGCCTTCGCCTTTCACCCCTTTAGGTTCTGAGGGCAGCCAGGCGGCTGCAGTGGGGAACACCTCTGCCCGGGAGCAAGCTGCAGACAGCCCCAGGGGCTTCACTGCAGGCTTTCAAATCAGATCACTGGCTGGCAGGACAGACTTCTTGCTTGGGAGTTGCCTGGAGGGAAAGCATTGGATTCGCAAGTTGCTTGCTGTTTGCTGGTTCTGTTTTTCTCCTGGAAGGGGTGATTGAGGGGGGAGGTGGGCATGGAGGAGTAGCTCAGAATGTACTTGGAAGGTTTTGTGAGTTGGAGGGCTAAAGGAGAACTTAGGAGTCGTCTGGTCCAACCTCTTCATTTTTGAGAAAGTGTACATGAGGACAAGAGGAGGTCAGGGACATGGCCAATGGTACAGGGCCAGGAAATACATTAAGCAGGCCCTGAGCCCAGGTTTCTCTTGCTGGACACCCCAGTTTTCTTATTTGTTGACATCTGCCTCCTTTGACATCCAAGTTTCATAGGCGGAAGATCCCTCAGAAAGCACTCCCAGGAAAAAGCTTCCTGTCTAAAGTGGAATTTGTGCGCCTTTCGTAGAGAGTTAGCAGGGTGAGCCAGAGGAAATATCAACGCTGTACTGAATGGGTTTCTTCACCTTCTGAAATGGGAGGGTAGGAAGGGGATGATCTTCAGTGGCTTCACTCCTAGCCCTACCTGAATGTATTCCTGGAAGTTGGGTGTGAAAGCCTAGGCAAGGTCCCTCTATCCTGCCCGCAGAAAACACCCAGTCTAGTGTCGGGGGAGAGGAGTGTCTGCGATATGGTGAACTTGTTAGAAGTTGGGCAAAGAAGGAAGAGCTAGGTTACAGGGGGATCTGGAACAGCTTGCTGCACTTGGCCTTTCAAAGATGGGAAGAGGTTGGAAGGTGATCACATAGCAAAGGTATCAATTGCAGATTGAAGAAGGGCAGTAATGTGGGTTAAATGAGGGTCCTGGAGGAGTCAGGGTGAGGAGAGGAACCTGAATAACACCTTGAGCAAAGCTCATGTGCCGTTTCTTTTACCAGTCTTAGCATGTTTATCAGATTTTTCTCAGGAACATGGGTTCTTCCCCAGCTTTCTGAGATCATTCTCAAGGACAGCTCTAAGATCATCTCCCTGATGCCAAATGTCTGAAGGGGAAGAAGATGGGGAAGCAACTAAATCAAATTGCCTGTAGAAATGATGCCACAAATACAGGAGTTCAGGAGCCCTGGAATGCTTTATCAAAAGGCTCAGTGGCTGGTCCCACCCAAGTGACAGTTAGACAGTAGAAAGCAGAGCTAAAAGAAATGTGGCCTACAATAAAAACTGCTCCAAGCTGAAGTGTTCTCTCTTACTCATGATTGAAAAGGGGATGTGTATTGAAGAAAGGGCTAAGGATCTCTCTCCCTCTCTGTCTCTGTCTTTGTCTCTCTCTCTCTCACACACATACCCACACATACATAGAGACACACACACACAGACAGGGCAGATTTCCCCCCAATGCAATCATTTCATATGGAATTTTAACTAAGAGAATTCATTTGTAATTGGGAGGTGAAGAACGGGTGCTCTATAGTGTTGTGCCCAATAGCTGACTGACTTTCTTTTTTTTCTATTTATTTTTTATTTTTTTCCATATGCTTTTGAGTTGAAAATTTTTCTCCCTTTTCCTCCCCCCACCCTCCCCAAGACGGCGCACAATCTGATATAGGCTTTACATTTTCATACCCATTAAACATATTTTCACATTAGTGAATTTGTAAGTGAAAATTGAAACCAATACGAGGAACCATCAGAAAGAGGAAACAAAACTCAACAGAAGGTAAAAATAAGTGATAGTGATTCGACTTCCATAGTTCTTTCTTTGAATGTGAACAGCATTATCCATCCCGAGACCTCTGGAAATGTCTTAGATCCTCATAATGCTGAGAAAGGTTCAGTTTAACAATCTTAGTCATTGCATAACACGGCTGTTATTGTGTACAAAGTCCTCTTGGTTTTGCTCACTTCACTCACCATTAGACCATATAAGTCTTTCCAGATTTTTCTGAAGTCAGCCTTTTCATCATTTCTTACAGCACAATAGTATTCCATTACATTCATATACCACAGCTTGCTCAGCCATTCCCCAGTTGATGGGCATCCTTCAATTTCCAGTTCTTTGCCACCACAAAAAGAGCTGCTATGTATATTTTTGTACATATGGGTCCTTTTTGCATTTGTTTGATCTCTTTGGGATATAGCCCTAGAAGTGCTATTGCTGGATCCAAGGGTATGCACATTTTTGTAGCCCTTTGGGCATAGTTCCAAATTGTTCTCCACAATGGTTGGATCATTTCATAACTCCACCAGCAATGTATTAGCGTTCCAATTTTCCCACATCCTCTCCGACATTTATCATTTTCCTGTTTTGTCATGTTGTCCTATCTGATAGGTGTGATGTGGTACCTCAGAGTTGTTTTGATTTGCATTTCTCTAATCAATAACTATTTAGAGCATTTTTCATATGACTACAGATGGCTTTAATTTCTTCATCTGAGAACTGTCTGTTCATATCCTTTGACCATTTATCAATTGGGGAATGGCTTGTGTTCTTATACATTTGTATTAATTCTCTATATATTTTAGAAATGAGCCCCTTAGCAGAGACACTGGTTGTAAAAATTCTTTCCCTATTTTCTACCTTCTTTTTAATCTTAGTTGCACTGGCTTTGTTTGTGCAAAAACTTCTCAATTTAATGTAATCAAAATTATGCATTTTGCTTTTCATAATGTTTTCTATCTCCTGTTTGGTCATGAATTCTTCTGTTCTCCATAGATCTGATAGGTAAACTATTCCTTGTTCTCCCAGTTTACTTATGGTATCAGCCTTTATATCTAAGTCATGAACCCATTTTGACTTTATTTATTCTGAAGCAGCAGAACCCACCAAAAGACAGAGTGAAACAAATTTCCAGCCCAAGACAACGTGGATGATTGATCAGAAAGGTGTGTCGCACCGGGCTGGGAGCGCAGCGCAGTGTGGGTGCACAGTCCGCAGCGTGGGCGCACAGGCTTCAGCAAACCTGGGCGCACAGGCTGCAGCAAACCTGGAGCAGGCCTCAGAGGACTGAATCTCGGGCAGCTGTGGAGGTTTCCAGACTCCTCAATCCACCAATGCCAAAGACAAATTAGAAGGTCAGTGGGAAAAGTCTGTTTCTGTCAGTGCCTGAGAAAGGAAGGCAGGGTTTCAGCTCCATTCCCCAAGAGCGTGGCCCTGTGGGGGGGCAGCTGCTTCCTGAGCTTCCGGCCCACAGACTGCGGGGGAATCCAGTGGCTGATCAGAGAAGGACTTCAGGGATCTCTTTGCCAGTGCTGAGGCAGGAATCTTTTCCTTTGCCCATGTTTGGATCTGGGCCACAGTTCTGGGCAGCGGTACTGGGGTGAGGAGGAGCGCTGGCTTGGTGGAGCTTGTAGTGATTGCAGAGAGAAGCCCCTCCTCACAGTTACAGGACAGAAAGGAGTACTTGTAGTGGCAGGGCAGGAAAGGAGTAAACACCTTGCCTCTTATCATACCATCTTGGAAGAACTGAAAATTTAGAGGTCCCTACAAGTATCTCTGAAAACAGCTGTACAAACCCCCGAAGCTTGGGACAGTACATTCTCCACATTGGAAGCAGATTGGTACCTTAACAAAGAGATTAAAACTCAAGTAATTGGCCGGGATCATGAGCAAGCAGGGCAAAAAGAGTCTTACTTTGGTGAAAAAGAAGACCAAAATATACAACCAGAAGAAGACAACAAAGTCAAAGCCCCTACATCCAAAGCCTCCAAGAAAAATATGAATTGGTCCCAGGCCATGGAAGAGCTCAAAAACGATTTTAAGAAGCAAGTTAGAGAAGTAGAGGAAAAACTGAGAGTGATGCTAAAGGAGACCCAAAAAAATACTGAAGAAAATAACCCCTTAAAAAATAGCCTAACCCACATGGCAAAAGAGGTCCAAAAAGCCAATGAGGAGAAAAATGCCCTAAAA